ACGAATGACTTTGAAGATTCTTGTTTTCCACGATCTTGGGAGTGAGAGCTTCCAGGCAAATCTAGGAAAGAAAACAAATTCCACAGGTTACTTCTACGGGACTACTCCTCTTGGAAAGTTGCCTCAATAAAGTAGTTATGAAATGAACAAAGTTGGAGAGGCTTTGACAAGGATCTAGAGATCAAATGCAGGAGTGATCTGATACAAAATGATCCCTCTTTGGCTTAGATAAGATTTTATCACACCCCTTTATCATTTTTATAAATAACTCAAGGCAGCAAACATACCTTACATTCCATCCTCCTCCTATTTTCTCCGTAACAACAACCCAGTGAGGTGTGTTGGGCTGAGAGACAGGGAAAGTCACCTAGCTGGTTTCAGGAGAACTAGAATTCACCGTCTCCTGATGATTGGCCCAGAGTCACCCAGCTGGCATTCCTGGCTAAGACGAGACTAGAACTCCCAGTCTCTTGATAATTGGCCCAAAGTCACCTAGCTGGCCTTCCTGACTAAGGCGGGACTAGAACTCCCCGTCTCTTGATGATTGATGCCCAAAGTCACCCAATCAGTCTTAGTGGAAGTAGAACTCACACTCTCCTGACTTCCAGTCTGGAGTCTTATAGTAACCTACACCAGCACTATACAAATTTCATTGCACATGTGATGTACAACGACAATAAAGACTATCTATCTATCTATCTATTTATTTTCCCACGTCATTATAGTTGTGCATTTAAAGTTGTAGCAACATTTCGGCAGAATCTCATCTGCCATCATCAGGCTTCTGTATTGTGTTCGTCTGGCAGCTGAACACAATACAGAGAGACGAACACAATACAGAAGCCTGATGATGGCAGATGAGATTCTGCCGAACCGTTGCTACAACTTTAAAAGCACAACTATAATGACGTGGGAAAATACCTGAACAAAGCTGAATACCATACATGTAAGTACCCGTGAGAACTTTATATATATATATATATGGATCTTTGGTTATTCGGGTTTTCTCCCGTGTAAGATTGGAAGTATCTAGGCAACGTTTCGATGAAGTCTCATTCATCATCTTCAGGCTTGTGTCTTCGGCTCTGTGCTTCTCAGAGTGAAGAAGTGGCCAACTTGGGGGGGGGGTGTCCTTCTCATGTGTGAGGAGCATGTGTGAGGAGCACCCCTCTGTGCTTCACTCTGAGAAGCACAGAGCCGAAGACACAAGCCTGAAGATGATGAATGAGACTTCATCGAAACGTTGCCTAGATACTTCCAATCTTACGCGGGAGAACACCCAAATAACCAAAGATCCACATACTAATACCCGCGAGAACCTCAGTATGTGTGTGTGTGTGTGTGTGTGTGAAAACAAACGTTGCCTAGATACTTCGAATCTTACGCGGGAGAAAACCCGAACAACCAAAGATCCACATACAAATACCCGCGAGAACCTCAGAAAACAAATATATAT